ACCCCTGCGGGTTGGTGCCTGCTGGTTCCCTGTTACCTCAAACATCAGCAGAGTGCAACTAATACTACTTGTTACTCCTCAAGTTTTCTGGCCAGTCACCCAAAAATCTCTCCACAAGCTTGTCAACTCGCTGTGCTGCTGCCTAGGAAAATCTCTGCCAGTGCTGCAACCGCTCGTGTTTGGCCAGTTTTCCCCACGGCCATATGGTCCCAACGCCTCTCCCCCACTTGCCATGAAAGCTTAAGTTGTAATTTGGTAAAAATGAGAAGCCCGCATCCCCCCGCTCACGGCTGCTGTGTGGGTTTTTCCAAGAGCTGTAATGAGGAATGTTAAACAAACACCTTTAATTAAAGGAATGTTTGTTTAATGTAATTAAATGCCTAAGGAACACCGCACTGTTGCAACCCTGGATAGTTTTGCACTGTGCCCCGCGATACTCTAGTGCGGGGGAAATAATGCAAGCAAATGACATAACCTGCCAGTAAACACCCAAATATTAAGCAGCATCCAAGCCATGCTACCCATTTACCAAATGCCTACGTGTCAAGAGGAACCGGCACTCATCTGTCAGCTGAAACAAAAAATCCTGAAAAACAGAAAGGAGTAAAACCCCAGCCCCAAACCCACAGCGTTTTCAGTCCCTTTTACTCTCTTTACTACCTTTCTATCCGAGCAGAAAAGAGGAGTCCTTTGAGGAACGAGACTTTCAACACCGCTCCCAGAGCGGCACAGGGCTTGTTTTTTATGTGACAAAAGTATTCCCCTTCCTTTCCAGCCGCCTCCGAGGCGATCCAGCGCGCTGCCAGCCCCGAGTGAAACCCAAGTCTCCCGCCTGGCAGGGTGGAGCATTCCCTGGGGCTGCAGCTCCGCTCCGTTTTTCGCCGAACCACCGCAACTCGCTCGAAGTTTTGGGGTGTTTATTTCGTAAAGACAAAAGGAAGAGAAGCGGCGGGACCCACCGGGGAGGGGGGGCCGGCGCCGGGCGCGATAGCGGCACCCGAGATGTTTACCGCGACTTCGAGCCCCGGAGCCACCCGGGCGGCGCGGTGCCCTTCCTTCCCCGCCTCTCGCCCCTGCACCTCCCTAGGCCGCTTCTCGCTCCCCAGCGCGGCATCCCCCGACCCCCGCCCGCCCCGCAGGTGGAGCGCGCCCGCCGCGGCCCCGGCAGTGCGGGAAGGAGGGAAGGAGGGAAGGCGGGCGGGAGCCGGACCCGCACCCGCCGCGGCGGCGCCGCCGCTCGGCCCCCGCGCAGCCCGGGCGGCGCCGCTCCGAGCGCCCCGCGCCGTGCCCGGCCCGGCCGCCGGGGCGCAAGGTCACCGCGGCGGCCGCCGGCCCAGGCACCGGCCGCGGCTGGAAAGCCCCTACCTGGCAGCGCCGCCGCCACACTATGGCGGGCCGCGCCGGGCCACGCCACCGCTCGGCACTTCCCACCTCCCGCCGCCGGCGGGAGCTGCGGCCGCCTCCCCGCCTCCCCCTCCCCGGCTCCCGGCGCCGGGCCCCGCTTACCGCGGCGCGGGGCGAGGCGGCGGCCGCCGAGGGGGGAGCCGTGTCCGCGCCGCTCCCGCCGCTGCTGCCGCTGCTGCTGCTGCCGCGGCTGCAACAAAGGACTTCCGCCCCGCCGCGCTGCCGCTGCCGCAGCGCCGGCTCCGCCGCGACCGCACGGGGCCGGACCCCTCCCCTCGGCGGCCGCGGCTCCCGGCGCCGCCGCTGCCAGCGCTGCTGCGCCTCCCGCCGCCAATGCCGGGCCCCGGCGGGCGGCTCCCTGCCGCGCTCCGCTCTCCTCCCATGCCGCCGGGGACGCGGCGCGGCGCGGGCTGGCGCTGCCGGCGCCCCCTCCCCGTGTGCCGCAAGCCCGGCCCCTGGCGGAGCCCCCCGGACCCGCGGCGAGCGCCCACCGGGACCCCGCGGCCGGGCTGTCCCGCCCCGCTGCTCTCCCGGCCCCGGGAATCCGCCCCTTCCCCGCGCACCCGGGCTCGCTCCACGGATCGGGGTGTCTCTCCGTTCCCCTCAGACCAGCGGTGACTGGTGCGGACGGGGAGGCTCCGGTCACCCGTGTGGGTGTCCGGCGCTGGGGGGTTGTACCCGCAGCCCCGCGGCCCCCGCGTGGGACAGTTTAAAGGCGAGAAAACCACTGCGAGCTGCGTGAGAAAGTATCTCCTTCTCGCTGCGATTTCACACGTTCATACCACCGCCCGCCCTCCTGGAGCTTCACGGTGATGCAGGAGCACAGAGCTGGCAGCCACCGCCACACTCTGTCACAGAGCCTGAGGACAGCGCTTTTTTTCATCTTCCCAGGAGCTGTCCCAGGCCCTCTTTCCACCAGTCTCTGGATCTCTCCTGTCTGATAGCATCCAGCTTCTCAGGAACTATCCCATGTGAGCAAGTGGGATTTCCGATCTCCTCTGCTACCTGCCACAGATCTGAGAGAAAACATAAGCCAGGGCAGGCTTTCCTCCGGGTCTTGCCACTTGACTTTTCCACCCCCAAAGTGACATTTGTCATTCAGCGTAAGCACTGGAACTGTTTAATCTGCACAGCTCGGGCATTCAGACACAGTTTCTAGAGATACCGTTGGTTTTATGTTGCTGCAACTAAGATCCCTCTTAGCTTCAGACAAGCCAAAAGGGCAAACTTAATCGTAGCAAAGTTAAAAGATTTTATTACAAATTTGAAAATTACAAAAATAACAGAAAAAGCAACAAAATAAAATGCCATAATGTTAAAATGTACCAGCATCCATCCCTGCTTCAATGACCTCTAAGATTTTCCTGAAGCATCCCTCCACCGGTTAAGCAAACAGTACAAACCCAATTAACAAAATCCTAGTCCTTCCTCCTGAGTTCGTCTGGGGATTTTCTATCAGCTACAGAATAAAACGGGAGCTTTCAAAATGTGTCTTTCAGAATGCAGCTCAAAAAAAATCCCCTTGTTTCCCCTCTCGCTCTGCCTCGTCTCAGGGGTGTAGTAGCAGTGCCAAGGGGGAAAAAAAACCCCTCTGTGGCTGTAAGGCACCACCCCCACAAAAGGTGGAGGGACCCCCACAATACAACTTCTTTGTAGGTTTTCCTGTTTTATAGGAAGTTAAGTAAATGCCCTCCATAAGCTGACACCGTCATGGTTTTCAAATCACACGGAAAAGTTACTTTCCTCATGGCTCAAGGGTCTTTTTCTCCCCAGCTCTTTACACAAGCCAAGAGTGCCCATGCAGGGTTTCTGCCACCTCCAGTAAGATGGGGCAAAAGGGAGTCCCCCTTTCTCACTGCTCCAGTTCTCTCACTACCGTCCCACCACACTTGCCTTTCCAATTTCATTTATTTATTTATTTATTTATTTATTTATTTATTTATTCATTATCTGCTGAGGTGTGTGATACCATCACCTGCGTTTTATAGCAAAACATCAGATTTCATTCCTCATCATCGCTTCCATCAGTTTGGCTCCAGCTTCTCTAAAGCTCTTCAAAGTCCTCTTTGGACTAGAGTCAACCTAAATAACATGTAAATAATTAATCATTTAAATAAATAACGTGCGATCTGCAAATAGCAACTTGCTCTGTACGCAGATTAATAAATATGTTAAATAACCCAGAGCATGGTACAAAACATTGAGCCACCTCCTGCCAACCTTTTGCAGAGAAGAAAAGTAGCTACTGATATTTACAGGACAAGCAGGATTATAGCTTCATCATCTCTCAATCCTGCTGCTGCGCAAACACAAGAGGGAAAGACTCTCCCCGAGTCCTGTGAGCTCCTGTGAGAAACAGAAGAAATAAAACATAGGGCAATGGAAAAGAGAAAGTTGTGCTGGCCAGTGGGATAAGCAGCAATCACTGCATGGATCAAAATGCTTTGAAGCCTACGCTTTATTTTCTCTGAGCCCATCTCCATCCTCTGCTCAGGCCCAGGCTGCCTGGAAACAGTCTCATAGACTGCTGGATTTGGGGGGCCAGGGGCATTATTTGCCCTAAATATTCAGGAATTGCAATTATGGGAATGCAATAGGACAACGGACTAAAAAATATCAAATGCTGAGAGAAAGCCAAGAGGGATGGATAATCTGAGGTCTTCTGAATGTCTTCTGCAGAGGCTCTGAGCCAGGAGGGACACCATGGAAGAGGTGGGTGTGACAGATCTTAGAAACTTCACCAAAATCATGACAAAAGCACACAAATAGCGATTTTCGCTGCCTTTTCCAGCTGAGAAACAACCTGTGGACATCAAATTAACCTGGTGGCAGCAGGAGGCTGGACAGACTGGAAGTTTAAACAGGTTCAGAAAGCAGTTTGGTAACATTCATTGTAAAGACACCTCAGAGGTTGTACTGACCGCCAGAGCAGCCGGCTGGGGCTCAGGGGGACCCTCAGGAGGGGCTGCTGGTGGCCGAGTGATAGGGGTGAGGGTGGCACTGCTGCCTGTGCCCCCTCCTCTGCCAGGCACCTCACTCAGAGCAGCTGCTCTCGCCTAAAACAACCCCTGGTTTAACCTCAGCGAGAGACGGGGGGGAGGCCTGACAGGGAAATGGTGTGTCCACAGGATTCGTGGTGGTTAAAGCAGCGCCGAGGCCGCAGACACTGGTGAGGAAGCCAGATCGTATCTTCGCATCCATTCTCACGAGCGGGCAGGCCGGGGAAAGCTCCCTTCCACAGTTGTTTTTTCCGTTAAAAAAACCCAAAAAAAACCCCCAAAAAGAAAACACCAAAAAAACCAGCCCAACAACAAAAATAAAATCCACTTTTATACCGACAGCCGAGGCGGTCAGCACGCCATACTGTGCCACCGACAAGCAAAGTCCCCCCAGCCCAGGGTGAGCCCGGGGAAAAACACACACTCTCCCCAAAAAAATCCCCCCCACGGGGGTGCCCACGATCCCTCCCTCCCTCCCTCCCTCAGGAGCTGCGGCCGCGCAGGGGCCGCGCCCATCGCACCGCCGGGGCGCGCAGGGAGCGCGCAGGGGCCGCGCTCACTTTTTCCAGGAGAAGCCCATCCCAGCCCATCCCAGCCCGGCCCGCCCCGGCGGCGGCAGGAAGCGCGGGGGGGCAGCGCCCACCCCATCCGCCGGCCGAGCTAGCGGGGGCGGGCGGCCTCGGCGCTTCCTGGCGGGTAAGCGGGGGCCGGGCCGGCACGGAGGGAGGGAGGGGAAGGAGGGGAGGGCGCTGGTCCCGCTCCCCGGGGAGGCCGCGCTCGCCGCCTCCCTCTTTGTGTGTCGTTCGCTCCCCCCTCCCCCCCCCAAATAATTTTCCGCTGAAACAATAGCAAATATCAGCGTTTATTTGCAAAGGGGCCGCCGGCGAGGCGGGGCGCGGGCGGCTCAGCCCCGCACAATGGGGGCTTTGTTGGGCGCACAGGGCTCCTCTGTGCGGGAGCCGCCGGGCTCGGCCCCGCCGCCAGCCCCGCTCCCCCTGTGCCCCCGCGGGGCAGTGGAAAGCGCCATCGGATCAGCGGGAAAACGCGAGCCGGGTTTAAAGTTAGTGCTGGCACCCCACGGAGCGTAGTTAATCGGCGGGAGAAGCAGCTCCGAGCGTAGCTGGGCAGATGGAAAAGTCCCCGAAAGGTTTTTGAGCTCATTGAACGTGATTTTGGGTGCCAGCGGTGGTATCAGTAGGAGAAACTATTGAATTAGGGTGCGGGGACCATCTGGAGGAGGGAAGAAGCTCCGTGACAGGCGCCCAACTTGTTTCAGTGGTGAGAAACCCACATTTGAGCCTCCGGGAGCTCTGTGATTTCTTCATGAGATGAACATCTTGTTCTCTTGCTCCTAGGCACGCCATGGATACCACTGGCCACAGCGTCCTCCTCCTCCAGCAGCTGAACATGCAGCGAGAGTTTGGCTTTCTGTGTGACTGCACAGTTGCCATTGGAGATGTTTACTTCAAAGCCCACAGAGCGGTGCTCGCTGCTTTTTCAAACTATTTTAAGATGATATTTATTCATCAGACAAGGTAAGAACACACACTTCTTCTATCCTTTAATCACTCTCAACGTTCTGCTTTTTCTCCTTTCTAAAGGCATCAGACTCTAAAAGACTGTAAGTGGAGATGTTAGATGGCTTGATATTATTTTCCTAACCCACCACAGGCCTTGGCTCCCTAAACATTCCCAGTCCAGAACGTGCTGTCCTTTAAAACCACTCTCTTAGTCAGCATCGGTAACATCAGGCCCTGCATTTTGGAGATGAGACATTTGTGTGACCTGATAAAATAAACATGTAAGTACCACTGTTTTCCTGCAGTGAGAACCTTGCAGGTTTGGAATCCAGGGATAACCTGGTACCTCCTCTGCCCATGTCCACTACTTTGCATTAGGTTGTAGGCAAGCTGGCTGGGGGGGACTGTCACTTCTGGCAAGATCCATGGGCTTGAAGTAATCGAGAAGCTGTAGCCTTATCGCAGTTCTGCTTTTCAGACTCTGGCAGATAAGGGCCAAGACTAAGATCATCAGTTCATTTCAAGCTGTTGTTGAGATGCTTCACCTGGCCAGGTCAGGAGTGGTTCTGCAGGTATAACAACACTGATGCCAAGGTCTGGCCTCTGACCTGGAGCTTGGTGCTTGCAGTGGATGAAACCTTTCTCCATTCCCCTTCCTTTTTGAGGGTCATGGCCTCCACCACTGTCGCAAAATAAGCCTTAGGATCAGCCGTGCCACCCTTTGGCAGGAAGTGAGATGAGTTAACTGCCTTTCCCTATAAATGTTGTTTGCTGACACTTAAGCGCAACACTCATAAAGATTACACAGCAGCAGCAGCTGAATTTATTACTTAAACACACAGATATTCTTTGCCTGGTGTTACTGGAGTGGCACACCCTGGTGATGCTTGCATGGCATCACTGCGGTGCCACACAGCTGCGGTTGGCTCTGCATGCGAGTGACGGGGTGACCGGGAGCTGGCCACTCGCACTGTCCCCAGCTGTGGTTGTGCACATGGTCTTTAGAGTCACAGAGATGAATGCAGGCTCAGGCACTTTGCTGTGCAAACAGGGCTTATGCACTTCTGCAGGGCTTGGCGGGGAGTGCTGCTCGTAAACCGGGAGGCAAGCAGCAGCACTGACAGCAAATGGGCAGGTAATGCTAGCTTGGATCCCTGTATGTACTTAATCATCTGTTTTGTTTCAGCGAATGCATAAAGATTCAGCCAACAGACATCCAGCCTGACATATTTAGCTACTTGTTACATATCATGTACACTGGGAAAGGGCCAAAGCAGACCGTCAGCCAGAGCCGACTGGAGGAGGGCATCCGCTTTCTCCACGCAGACCACCTCTCCCACATCGCTATCGAGATGAACCAAGCGTTCTCCCCAGAGCCAGTCCAGTCTTCCAACTTGTACGGGATCCAGATCTCGACGGCACACAAACTGGCAAAGGAACGCCTGGGAGCGAAGGACAGTCTACCCAAGGCAGGGGGCAGGTCTGCGGCCCAGGGCGATCACCCTCAGCTGCAGCTGTCCCTGGCCATCGGCCTGGACGACGGCCCCCTGGGCCAGCAGGTCGCTCGCCCCTCTGCCCCGCCCGCCGCTCTCACTAAGCCGGCAGAGGAGCGTCCAAAGCTCTCGGTCTCCATAAAGCAGGAGAGGTGCGACCCGGAGCCCGTGGTGTCCCAGAGCTGCACCCCTCCTTCTCCGGAGGTGGCCAGCCCCATCTTTGCCAAGGCCAGCCTCAAGGTGCACTTGTGTCACTACTGCGGGGAGCGCTTCGACTCCCGGGGGGGGCTGCGGCAGCACCTGCACACCCA